CTCTAGCAGTAGCAGGTCAGCAGCAATGGGTGAAAAGCCAAGGGCACTGGTACAGAAGCAGGAGGAACACAAAGGGCAGACTTACAAGACTTCAGAGAGAATATGCAGGTAAAAGAACTAAGGCTGCTCCTAAGTTTTGGCCTTTGTTCAGCTGAAGTAAGTTTTGCAACTGAAATACAAAGGGTGACTGAAAAATATGATGAACTTTAAAAAAGAATTTTTCAACTGGGCATAATGGCACACGCCTGTAATCCCAGCACTTGGGAGGCTAAGGCAGGAGGATTGCCACAAATTCGAGGCCAGCCTGGGCTATATAGTTATTCAGAGGCAGCCTGAACTATACAGCAAGAACCTATCTCAAAAAAAATTTTAAAAAAGAAAAGAACTATAGAATTTCATTCCTTTATTCAACAAATGTTTATTGAACACTGTCCCAGACACTATTCTAAACTCTGAAAAAAATAACATTGAATAAAACAGATTAAAAACCCTGCCCTCATGGAACTTAGTCTACTGAGAGTAACAGACAATCCTAAATTGGGCTTGTGAACATAAATGTAGGGTTTCAGGTTAATACCAACCATTTAGTAATTTTTTTAACCTTTCCTTAAAATTTTACTTCCAGAATTTTCATTTCACTAGTTAGAAAGGTATTTATGTCTTCAGTTCAGCAGCAAGATTCAGGTGAATTAAGATTTTTTTATGCTAGCTTTCCTATTGTAAAAATCTATTTTTCTTCCTTTGTTTTCCAAAGTATTTGTTGGAATTAGGTCAGCTCTACCAAAGAATGTCCATTAAGGATGATGGGACTTAGGAAAAATGAGAGGTCAAATGGTACAACAGAGAGAGCAGAGTTTGGGCATTAAACAAGACCAGGGTTCAAATTCCAATTTTGTACAAGTTGTGTGACCTTGGGTAAGTTATTCAGTATCTCCAAGTTTCAAGCTGAGGCACACAGCTCAGTGGTACAGTGTATGCCTAACAGGCATAAGACCCTGGGTTCAATCCCCAGCAATAAACACACATACTGAAAAACAAACAAAAAAATCACAAGCAATGAGAATAACTTCACTCTATGGATTAAAAGGAGTAATTTTAAAAGGTCATTTCACACACTACTTGGAAAAAATGGAGAAATGCTAGAGAAATGGTGGGAGCTGATGCTGTGACCCCCCACTATTACTATTACTATTATCTGCTGACACAAAATAGATGCCCAACAATGCTTTCTATTTCTCCTACAGAAGCCGCATCTTAATAGTATGGGTAATTACAAGGCTCCAGTTCACTTCTATTCTCCCAAAGTTCTATACAACAGCAATTAAATGCATATTAATTTCACAAATGAACTGAATATCTTTACTCTCTAACATGATTAAATGTACTTAATATCTAACTATCTTTGGGGCATATTTATCCTCCAAAGAAAAATTTGGAGGTAATATCACCAGTGGAACAAAATGGTCCTTGAGTTATAAAGAGTCACATAAAAATAAAAGTGGCACTGACTTAGAAACTATCCACCAAAGATTCTATAGTTTTTATTAAACTGACACAATTAACCTTATCCCCTGAAATAAATCATTTTTATAATATCTCTCATTTGGGGGAAAAAAAGTTAATCAACCAACTAAAATCATATAAAAATTCAAATTTTATACAACGGCCTCAAGAGTTCCCTGAGAAGTAAATGGCACAATGTATATGAAAACAGTTGGCTAAGATGTCTGCACACAATATGTACTCAATGATATCTTCAATGAAATATATCATTCAGTGATAACTTCATTATCTTCAGTGAAAAAAAAACCTTCAATGAAATTTCTTATCCTACATTCCTTTCAAATGATGAGAAAGATCCACAATGGCAATTATAACAGAATTTAAAAGCTTAAAATACATTCCAACTAGCTACAATTCTAAAGCATTCCAACTAGCTACAATTCTAAAGCAGAAAGGTATTCATCTGACATCTTTTAGTTTCAGTAACAAAGAGATTTATAAATTAAGATGCATAGCATTATAATCAAAAGCAACATTTAACTCTTTAAAATGGTGTCCAAAGTCTCCTATGTTTGCAAGGTGACTGGATTGTAGGGTACCAATGCATTGCTGTTGAGGGGGTAATTGGAGGAAAGAGTCACAGAGGTTATGGTCTGGAATGCTCCTTGTCACTCTGCTTCCTGTCCTACCATGCAGTGAACTGCTTTCCTCTGCTCAGACCCTTCCTCCGTCCCAGTTCTGTCCTGCAGACAGACAACCATGACTGAAACGTCTACAAACTGTGAACCAAAATAAACCTCTCCTTTTAGTTGCACATTGTGGGTATTTTGTCCTAGGGACTAGGAAAGTGACTAAGATTGTGGTACCAGGGGTTGGGTGGTTGCTGTGATGCATGTGCTGACCATGTGGTTCAGAAGCCTTTGGAACCAATTTGAGGGAGAGAGTTGGATGCCAGCCCTAGAATGTTATAAACCAAGCTTGATGGTAGATTTTGGTTAGAATTCAACCAGAATGCTGATAAAAAGACAGATGGTAAAGACAAGGTTCAAGAGGTTTCAGATGAAAACAAGGACTTCACTGGCAGCTGGACTCTAGACCATCCATGCATATATGGATCCTCTGGAAGAAAATTTGTCTACATTTTGCTCATGTCCTAAAACTTTGCAGAAGATTGAGATTAAGGGCAACAAGCTAATCTGATGGAAGAAATTTCAAGGTAGCCTAATGTTAAGGCTGTAGCATGGGTATAATTGGGGCTTTTAGCCAGCTCTATATTGAGAATCAAGAGCAAATGGCACTGTGGAGTGATTTTAGAAGTTTTTGTTTCACCAGAAAGGAGGCTCCTGTCAGGCATGGTGGCACATGTCTGTAATCCCAGCATTTGGGAGACTAAGGCCGAGGACTGACACAAGTTTGAGGCCAGCCTGGGCAACATAGCAAGTTGAAGGCCAGCCTACACGCTATGTAGCAAGACCCTGTCTCAAAAAACTAAAAAAAAAAAAGGAACCTCCTATAGAGTTGGGGCCTGTAAAGCTGGAGCAGAGGACAGTTTAGTTACTGAAAAGATTAATATGAGAAAGAAGAGAACCACAGTACTTTACATCAGCACAATACAAAGGATGCTCTAAAAGATAGGCACAGGATGAATCCAAAAGATGCCACCCTTTGTAGACTTAAGGATGGAAAAATGAAAGACTTTGCTTTGAGAAGGAAGCCCCAGGGTACACTGGTTGGAAAAGGCCATCAAGGAAATTTGCTACCTAGGATTCCTTTCACAGTACTCAGCCATCCATGTACTTGCAAGCTTCTGCAGTCACAATTCAAGGGGGTCTGATTACTGCTGGAGCAAATGGTGGAGCTGGGAGTCATCCACGTGATACTAATTTTATAGGCATGCAGAATATGAGAGTTGTGGGCTCACAAAGGCTTTCACCAAGATTTCAGAAGACCTGGGAGGGGCTGGGGATTTAGTTCAGCAGCACAGCACCTGCCTGGCAAGCACAAGGTCGTAAGTTCAATTCCTGGTACCGGAAAAAAACCAGAAGACCTGGGAAGCCAGGCAGTGTGCCACTGAGAGGTCAATGTGTGAAGCTGTGAGGGTGAAGCCAAAAGTATAATGGAGACCCCAGAAACTTAGATAAGCCAGGAACATGGAAGGTAAGAGGAAAACCGCAAGAACTGAGAAAAGCCAGCCTAAGAGAGAAACCATGAGAGCTACAACCACCAGCAATGCTGCAGGGGCAGGCCCACCCAAGCCATCTGGAGTTCACATCATGCCACAACTTGCCCCAAGCCCTGCATATGGAAGTACAGGATTTAATCATGTTTTCCCTGCTGGGTTTCAGTCTTGCTTTGGTCCAATTTCTTTCCCTGTTCCCCTGTTCCTCCCCTTTGGAAAAGCAATGTTTATTTTGGGTCACTGTATCTTGAAAGTGTTTAACGTTCTTTTGATTTTTACAAGGTTCACAGCTAAGAGTTTGCCTTAAGACTCAAAGGAGTCTTTGGACTTGCACTTTCAGCAATACTGCAATTTCTAAAATTTTAGCAACTCTTAAAGAGGAACTAAATGCATCTTGCATAAAAAGACATACACAAGTCTTTGGAGGGCCAGGGATAGAATGTTATGGTTTAAATCCAAAAATGACCCCAAAGAATATGTTAATTTTGGGGGATCTTTTGTTTGTTTTTGGTTTATTTGGCTTTTTGAGACAGGGTCTCTCTATGTAGTACAAGCTGGCCTTGAACTCACTATGTAGCCTAGGCTGGCCTTGAACTCTCAGAGATCCTCCTGCCTCAGTATTCCAAGTGCTGGAAGTACAGGCTGGGATTACAGGTGCGCACCACCACACCCAGCTCCAAAGGCTATATTTAATAGATAATTAAACTGGAGATATAGCTCAGCAGCACTGAACCTGCCTGACAAGTACAAGGTCTTGAGTTCAATTCTTGGTACAAAAAAAAAAAAAAACACACACACACACACAAAAAACAGAGGGGTGGTTAAATTATGGGATGGTTATCACTGCATTGCTATTAAGAAGCAGGATCTGGTCAGAGGAGAATGGTCACAAAGGTTTATCTCCCTCCCTGGTGCTCCCTCGTAGCTCTGCTTCCTGTCTACCATTTGGTGAGCTGCTTTTCCTCTGGTCAAGCCCTTTCACTGTGCCACTTCTGTGCTGAAGCCAGCAAACTATATACTGAAACCTCTATCAACTGTGAACCAAAATGAATCTCTCCTCCTTTTAGTTCCAAGTGTTGAATATTTTGTCCCAATGATGAAAAAAGTGACTAAGACGCTATTCATCCAGAAGAAAAAGCCCTTTAGCTGAAAGTTTTTATGAAAGACTAGAGCCAGGAATGGTGGTGTAGTGTAGGCCTATTAATTCGGAGCCTAAGGCAAGAGGATCACAAGTTCAAAGCCAGCCTGGCTAACTCAGCAAGACCCTGTCTCAAAATTTTAAAAAGAACAGGATGTAGCTCAGTGGCAGTTCACTCACCTAGCATGCACAATTCCTTGGCTCCAATCCCCAGTACTGGAGGGAAAAAAAAAAAGGCCAGAGACATAACTTGCTCCTGTTTTCATTTCTTTTAAATGCAAATTCCAGAAGCTATTTAATATAATGGTATCATTAGCACTAATCATCATTACTTTAGCACTGAATCAACTAGTACCAACTCATGGGGTGCATCTACAACAGCCAGGGGTGCCCCTTCACTTGAATATGACACCATCTGAGACAATCAATGTCTAGAGTGTCAGTTTCCCCATAACAAATGACTCTTCGAATTCTCTAGACTGTCTATCTGGATACTCAGAACAGTCTCTCACTGGCAATCCCCCTTGTACGTAGATGACTCCAACATTTACAAGAGCCAGGTGCACATCCTGAGAGCACCTCAAACTCAGTTTGTACAAAATTAAACATGTCTCAGTCCATCTGCCTGTGTCCCTGTATGTTAGTGGCACCTCTCAATCAGCAAAATGGATCTAGTTTTCTCTCCCTCACCATAGCCCTCTCTCTTCCAAAGAATAAACCAGTTTCAAAGAAACATCTGTCCATTTTACCTCTACAATACCAGGCAGCACCTACCCCTACCTCTAGTCCCACTGTTTTTCTCAGGCTCTTGTCACCGCTGCCCTGACCCATGCCAACAGATTCCATTGAGCTGCCCACCATCTTTTACACCCAAAGTGAGTCCACCTACTCTGAACATTTCAGGTAGAATAATCTTGCTATGAACACCCCTTCCCACCTTGTGGATATCACTGCCTACCATGGTGTCCCAGATTTTCAGAACCTGAAGGACTGTTCTGGGACCCAACCACTCACTGAATCTTGGAAGTGCTTCACACTGAAAACATTCTGGCCTCGTCTTCAAGGCCATTTCTGCTCTGGTTCCAACCTAAAAGCCTACAGCGTCATGAAAACAAGAGTGACTACAATGTCATGAAAACAAGAGTGAAGTGTGCCATCCCACCACTTATGGGCTAAAGGTCAAAATGCCGGAAAATGTTTGGCCTGGATGGTGTCCCTGCCATGCTCCCCTTAGTTCTCTCTGTTCTAGCCATCTGGTCCTTTCTCCAGCCTGTCATGATCCCAATCACTCAGCAATCTCTGTGCATGATGCCCCTCAACACCCCACCTCAGTAGCAACACAAGTCATTTACTCAGTGACTAACTACACCCATTCCAAATTAAGTCTTGTGTACCCTGCTCTTCAATTCCACAGCCTTAACTTTGTAAGCAAAATTAAATTCGTAAATCAGAACATCCTAAGTTACAAGACCAGCCCACTACACACTGTTCCTAAAAATCACTTAGTTTCTCCATCCAGAAAACTAAGAACTCAGCTGCTCAATGTTCTCCGAGTTCCCTAAAAGATCAGACATTAGCTGAGCCTTGAATGGTGTTACCATTCAACTTTGCAATCTGGGATTTTTCCCCCAGCTCCACATTTCCAAAACCTACTCTGCCTCAAATGCTCAAATCCAGTATTACCTTCCCCTCCACATCATCCTTGTATCTTCAAGATAGTCCCCTCTTCACCCCTCAATATCCACAGGTCCTCCAGTGCTTCATTCAGGTTTCCGGTCAAATAGCACTTCAAATGACTGGCTTCTTCTAAAGCCACTGGATGGTTATAATGCTTAATCAGATCACCCTGCTTTATTTTATTGATACACTTTACCATTATTTGAAATTGTCTTGTTCATTTCTTTTACTCATTTACTTTTTAACTGTCTGTATCCCCACTAGGACATAAAAATCTGTGAGAGTAGGGGCCCTATCTGTCTTGTTCACCACATTTCCTCACTCCCTCACATCAGATGTTGAAGATACTCGGGAAATACCTGCCAAATACATGGATGACTCTGTAGTTCTCATGACTAGGGTTTTTGTGTACATATCTTCCTCTTGCTGTATTCCAAACTCCTTGTGGACAAGGCCAAAGTCTGGCTAACCTATTTGTATGATCCAGAAATCCTTGCACAATTGAAACAATAATGGATAACTGCTAATAAGTGATCTCTCCAAAAGGTATTACCCCAAAGTAAGCCAACTCAAACCCTACATTGTCCAGAAATCAGAGAAAACAGGAATCTCCTTCCATTCCCTCTACTCGCCTCGTTAGACTGTCACCACCAGTGAGCTTCAAAAGGCTAGCTTCCTTACTTCCTTTTCACCAACAACCACTGATTCTTCTATCCCTAAAAATCTCACAATACTACCCTCTTCCTTCTATCTCCAGCCAACAAATCACTTCCAGAGCACTGTTCTTCAAAAGACCCCGTATCTTCTCCAATCAGTCCAGGGAACTCACCAGGCCCTAGGGCAAAGAGGGATGTTAAAAGGAAATATTTAAGAACTGGCTCACTCATCTTTTCCTTGATAACCTCATTTATCTGATATAGACCCAGTTTAAGAGACTGGCTTTGATACTGAGACCCTGAGCATTCTTCCAATCTAGCCTGCAGCACCCAAATATCTTTGGGGTGTCCTCACTCCTGCTTCGCACCTTTTCGCCTTTCATCACAGGAAGACCCCAGGCCAGAGATGATGATCTCTCCGGAAGCAAATGGCCATCCAACACAGTGGGGCCGCCCTACACTACCCACTTTCCATCCAGCCTTCGCCTCTGGCCTGAAGCGGTCTCGAGAGCTCCTCAGCCCCAGCCTCCAGCTGGGCCCGACCCTCCAACACCACCCCCCACTCACCTGAAGCGGCCCCCGCAGTGCTGGCATTGCTCGCCCACCCAGCCGGTGGGGCAGACGCACAGGCCGGTACCAGGATTGCAGCGACCGCCGTTGACACAGGGCCGGTCACATTCCTTCGCTTCAGCTGCGGCTGAGCCCGACACCACCGCCGCCGCCGCCGCGGCCTCGGCCTCCCAGGGCAGCAGGAGAAACAGCAGCAGGAGCAGCAGCAGAAGCCGCCGCGGTGGCAGCGACGGCGACAGCAGCCGCGAGAGACGCAGCCCGGCCCCCAGCCCCGGCCTCCCAGCCCCGGTCACGTCCCAGTCCCGGTACCACCCGCCCTTCCTCCGCGCGGGCGCTGCAGTCTTCGCCGTCCTCCTCGTCAGCCTCGCCTCAGTCGCCGCCGCCGCCGCCACCATCTTCCCGGGGCTGAGACGGAGCCCCGAGAACACATACACACACACCGCACGGCCGGCTCCGCTTCGCCTGGCCGTGCGGGGCGGGGCTCTGCGGACGGTGGCCCTTGCGACCAATCCTGAGGGCGGGGCCAGAGCAGCGCGCGTGCGTGGGCGGTGCTGGCGCGCGTGCGTGGGCGGGGCGCGCAGACCACTTTCTTCCAGCGTTAGAGGTGGAGGCTGGGGCTCTGTCCTTGACTTTAGGAACTGGTGAGACCTTGGCTTCCCCGCTGAGGAACCCTGGCGGTCTACTTTTCGCACCAGCGGAGGCTGCGAGGTAGCCGCGCCGAAGTACTCCCCTTCCATTTCCTCCAGGAGTTGGCTGTTGTGCTAGCCAAGCCCACCGCGGTGGGTATTGCCCTCCTGGACACCCCGAGCCCGCCAGCCCCAACTTCAGCTGTAGGGTGGAAAGGGCCTAAAGACTGCGTCGAGATTTGGGGCCAGAGGCGATCCTGGAGGAGTACTGCATTCTAGCTTCTCAAATAGGGATGAAGAAATAACACCTGTGTTAAGAATCTGGCATAGAAGTAAATGTCCAGCAGACTAAAGTCACCCACAGCCAGCCCTGCCTGGATAACAGGCTGACCTGGTTCCAGATCAGACGTACCCTCCACCTTCAATTCTGTTCAACGATTTTTGGGATTACCTTGTGCCCTACTATTTACCCCCCAGCCATATTCTCTGTAGGAAAGGTCTAGAATTAGGAACTGGAACATCCTTAGCCTGCACAAGTCGAGTCCTAGATCCTTTCTTGTCAAATTTCAGTCTTTCCATTGAAACATGCCTTCCAGTGGTATAATTGTGTATGATCCTCGACTCAGGAATCTGGTCTGGGACTGGGACTCCATTTAACCAAAAGAAGAATGTGTGGAAAATAACAGTAGTTTCAAATCTGAAATTTTTTTAAAGCCTTGACTTTGAGATTTTGGTAGTCCTGAGACGCTCGCCTTCTACCCGGCTGAGAAGAAACCTTACGTGGAGAACACATGGAGAGGGAAAGGCCTGGACACATGAAACTGGTGGATGCATCTTAGCTGACGTTTCATTAAAGCCATCTGCGTTCTTGCGAATTACTTAGAACGGAGACAAGTCTTTCCTACTGTGCCTTACCCAAAATCCCGAAAAATGATACACTTGCTACTGTTAAGCCTCTACATTTTAGAGAACTTTGTTATGTAGCAACAGATAACCAACATTGTCACACCTAATCCTTGTGCTGTGAGGATTATTTCTTGGGCACTTAGGAGTCCTTGCGAAACAAACCCTTCGTATATCTACAGAATCTCTCAAATTCATCTCAGAGTACAGCATTCTGATATGCTAGGATGGATGCCCCACACTCACACCCAGGTGCCACACAGGTGCTGAGATGGGCCAGCACACCTGCAATCAGGTTCCACTCCCATACTCAGGGCCTGGCTTGCCTCACTCAGCATGCCCTTCAAGCCTGGTGATCCTGAACTCCGTAACAGCCTCACCACAGCCCTTCACTCGCACATGCTTCCCATTCAAGCAGAAATCCTATTGTCTGTCCCAGGCTCTGGTGTTACACCAGTGTTTTGATTTGCAGGTTGGGTTTTTGCTGCAGTGTCCTATAAGGGGATGTTTAGGATGAGGTAGGAAAATAGAAAACAACCCCACCTGCAAGCAGGCTCTAGTAAGACTGGAGCTGCTAACAGGAACAATACCTAGTCATGGGAGACATTGTTCCCCCTTCTCTTCCAGGCCAGAAGTGAAACCAACCCTTTCCTTCCCTCCCCACTGCAAAACTGAGCCCAGACTGTGAAGTTTCACGTGATTTTACCTGTTGTCACATGTAGGGACAACAGAAAGGATCTGTACCCACCAGGCAGCAATCCCTACACAGTACTACATATGGCTGCTCTCTGAAACCCAAGACTTTGGCAGCAGCATCTCTTCCTTACCTCTTTAACTTGTTCATGATGAGGCTCTAATTCACTGCCAGCTGACTGTGAGGTGCTAACAGTCATGACAGCCATGCATGTACCACAAATGGTTCAAGCCAGCGGGAATGTGTTAATGTGCTCCCTTTGGCTCTTTCCCAAGTCTTCAGACACACTTTTTTTATTTTAAGGAGAAAAAATGAAATTTCAAAAGAAGATAATAGGATGGGTAACAATGTTTAATATATTGTATATTGTTATCTTTAGTTACTCAGAGTACAAGATATATGCATTTAATTGTCTCCAAACAATATTAGCACAAACGTTTCTTTTCAATGAGTTAAAAGAAATTAGTAGTATTTATTATAAAGTCTCTAATTTATACTTCTTTATGGCTGAGTAATACTCCATTGTGTAAAAAGACCACATCTTTTTTATCCATTCCTCAGTTGATGGGCATTTGGGTTGTTTCCAAGATCTATTACAAATTGTGCTCCTATAAACATGAGTGCACATATATTGCTGTGGTGCAATGTTTTTAATTTTTCTGGGAAGATACCTAGCACAAGAATATCTGGGTCAAATGGGACCTCTAGGCCTAGTTTTTTGAGGAATCTCCATACTGAATTCCACAGTGGTTGCACCACTCTGCACTTGCAGCAACAGTGGAGAAGGGTTCCTTTTTCCCCACAACTCTGCCAGCATTTGTTATTGGTTGATTTCTTGGTGATATCCATTCTTTCCAGGGTGAGATGGAATCTCAGTATTGTTTTAATTTACATCTCTCAAATGACCAGTGATGTTGAACATTTTTTCATATAATTATTTGATGTTTGTACTTCTTCATCTGAGAAGTGTGTATTCATTTCAGATGCCCATTTTTGGATTGGGTCTTTAAATTTGGAAAGTCTGATGTTTTTGAGTTCTTTATATGTTCTTGATAATAATCCTTTGTCTGAGGAACAATTGGCATTTTTTTTCCCCACCTTGTGGGTTGTCTCTTCACTCTGTAGGTGGTTTCTTTTGCTGTGCAAAAGCTTTTTAATAAGATGAGATGCCAGTTGTTGATTCTATGTGATAGTTCCTGTGCAATCAAGGTTTTATTCGTTTGCCTACACCAATGTCTTCAAGAGTTTTATCTATTCTATCTTCTTGCAGATTTAATGTTTCTATTTTAATATTTAGATCTTTGACCCATTTTGACTTTAGTTTTCTGCATGGTGAAATATATAGGTCCATTTTTAATCTTCAGCATGTGCAGAGCCACTTTTTTCAGCAACAGTTATTAAAGAGGCTATCTTTCTTCCAGTGAATGTGTTTGTCAAAGATAAGATGGCTGAGTGTGTATGGAGTTGTTTCTGCATCTTCTAATATGTTCCATTGATTTGGGGTCTTTTTTTTTCCAGTACCATGCTGTTTTTATCACAGTAGCTTTATAGTATAATTTCAAGTCAATGATTGTGATGCACCCCGCCTTGCCTTTGTTGCCCAGAACTGCCTTTGCTATTCTAGGTCTCTTCGGATTCCAAATAAATTTGAAAGTTGTTTTCTCTAATTTTTTGAGTTGTGCTCTTGGAATTTTGATTGGAATTGCTTTAAATCTGTATAAGTTTTGAAAGTATGGCCATTTTCACTATATTGGGTCTTCCTATCCAAAAGCAAAAGATATCTTTCCATTTTCTGATATCCTCTTCAACCTCCTTTTTCAGTACTGTAGTTTTCAGTGTAGAGGTTTTTTACATCCTTCATTAGATCAATCCCTAAGTATTTAATTTTTTGGATGCCATTGTCAGAGGTGTTTTTTCCTCTAATTTCTCTCTCAATGAGTGTGTTATTTGTATACGGGAAAGCTATAGATTTTTGAGTGTTAACATTGTATCTAGCTACACTACTGAATTTGCTTATTAAATCTAGCAGTTTTTTTAGTGGAGTTTTTGAGGTCTTCTATGTAGAACATCATGTCATCTGCAAATAATTATACTTTGACTTCTACCTTTCCTAGCATTGTTCCTTTTATTTCTTTCTCTTGTCCAATTGCTCTGGCTAAAGTTTCCAGGACTATATTGAACAAGAGCAGATACAGTGGACATCCTTGTCTTGTTCCTAGTTTTAGAGTGAAAGCTTTCAGTTTTTATCCATTTTGTATAATGTTGTGTGTTAGTTTGTTATGGATGGCTTTTATCAGATTGAGATAAAGGCCATGTATTCCAGTTTTCTGTAGGGTTTTTATCATGAATGGATGCTGGACTTTGTCGAATGATTTTCTGCATCTGTTGAGATGATCATATGATTTTTGTCCTTGGCTCTGCTAATATGGTATATTACATTTATTGATGTGCATATGTTGAACCATCCTTGCATCCCTGCGATGAATCCCACTTGGTCATAATGTATAATCTTCTTGATGATTTGCTGCATTTTGTTTGCCAGTATCTTATTAAGAATTTTTTTCATCTATGTTCATTAGGAAGATCAGCCTATAGTTCTTTCTTAGTTGGGTCCTTCTCCAGTTTTGGTACCAGGGTAATTCTTGCTTCCAGGGATGAATTTGGGAGTATTACTTCCCTTTCAATTTCTTAAAAAGTTTGACAAGTAGTGGTGTTAGTTCTCCTCTAAATTTCTTCTAGATTCAGCAGTGAATCCATCAGGGCCTGGGCTTTTCTTTGTTGGTAGGATTTTAATTACATTTTTTATTTTGTTGATTGATATTGTTTCATTTAGGATTTTTATATCTTCTTGATTAAGCTTTGGTAATTCATATGTATCTAGGAATCTAGCCATTTCTTCTGCATTTTACATCTTATTAGAATACAAGTTTTCAAAATAAGTATAGATAATCTAGATTTCTGCAGGGTCTGTTGTGTTTTTACTCTTTTCATTCCTAATTGTGTGCATTTGGGTCTTTTCTTTCCTTTTTTTTATAAGATTGGCTAAAGGTTTGTCCATTTTATTTAATCTTGCAAAGAACCAACTCTTTGATTCATTGATTCTTTGTATTTATTTTTAGTCTTCAATGCATTAATTTCTGCTCTGATCTTTATAATTTCTTCCCTCGTGTGAGCTTTTGGCTTAGTCTGCTCTTCTTTTTCTAGAAGTTTGAGGTTCAACATTAAGTTGTTTACTTGTGCTTGCTCTATTTTCCTGATA